AAGGTCCGCGCGCGCATGCGCAGGAGACCCGCCGGGCGGGAGCGGGCGCCTCCCAAAAACGCCGGGAAACCGGTCGGTTTCCTAAAAAAAAAAGCGAGTTTGCAGAAAAAACAGCAAGTTTCTGAAAAAGCAGCCGGATTTTCAAAAAAATCCCGAGTAATTTTCCCCCTCCCCCGCGAAAGCAGCGGATTTACAAAGAGACTCCCAGCAACTTCCCCAAAGAGCAGCTGATTTGGAAGAAAAACAGCAAGTTTCTGAAAAAAAAAAAAAAGCAGCAGATCTTCAAAGGAAACCCAGCAAGTTTCGGAAGAAGCAGCGGAGTTGAAAACAGAACAGGTTTCTGGAAAAGCGATGATTTTTCCAAAGAACAAATAAAGCCAATTCCCGAACTGCCGTCAGCGAGCGCGGTAAGTCCCTGTCCTGCAAGGATGTGCCCGTTGGGTTTTAGTTCTTCTTTCAGGCCAAATCCTGCTGGGCTGGCGGCTTTCCCGGCCGGGTCATCCCACCGGACGTGAAATTAAGGCCAGTAAAGGTGAATTAATCCGGAATGAGATTTTTGCAACACAAGCCGGCTTCAAACCGCAGCCGGAGGAACCGTGACCCTGTTCCTAATATATTTTCCCCAGCGTTACTTATTTTTTTCCCATGTCATTGCATTTTTCCCAGCGTTATCCCGACAGTTTCACTGCTGGACACTAACAAACTCCCCTCCTTGGAGCTGAGCACCGGAGGCCATGGCTGTGCGGCGCTGGGGGGGTCTCCCCCGCGGGAATCTCTCCGACTGCCCCAACGGCTCCCGCTGGGCGATGGATGTGTTCCACGAATGTGCCCAGGACGGCCGGGACATCGCCAGCATCGTCCTGGGGCTGATTTCCATCTTCTGTTTTGCAGCTGCGTCTTTTCCGTAAGTATCTCTCCCCAAAACCCGGCCGAGCCCTTCCCTCGGTACAACACTCCTCTCTAAAAATCAAAATTTCAAGCGCAAGCTGCATAAATTATTAAATCTACCCAGCAAATGCAATCTGGGCCTGGAAAATTTGGGCATAACAGGCGAAGAAGGAGCAGGCGGTACAGCCCCAAAGCCTTGTTTGTTATTTTATTGTTATTATTATGCTTGGCAGCTGTAGCCAAGCCACGTAAGCCAACTGCAATGCAGTCATTGCAGGTCATACGTGTGGAAGAAATGTTTCCAGGAGCTCTGGGCTTCTTGGAAGTGCTGAGACAACCGTGGCAGAGGGGAACTTTGGGGGTCGCACCCAGTCTCGGTGTATCATGAGATGATTTTGTAACCAGAGAGGAGGTTTCTGCAGTTGGTGCTTCTCGTCACAGATCACAAGGGCTTGAGCTCAGCGGGTTGCCGTGAGCACCCAGGGGGTCGCAGGACTTCTCATAGGGGCTGGTTTGCGGGGAAGCATGTGGCTTTGTTAGAGGAAATCTTTGTTTTTCCTCACGCTGAGTGCTTTGAGAGGGGGACAATTGCAAAATGATCCAGGTGGGAGCAACAGGGAAACCTGGGGATGGTTCCCAGGTAGCGCTGAACCAGCCGGGGGTTATGGCTTGTGTCCCTGCCTGACTTTCTCTCTGCAGCCAGTTTTACCAAGCCTGTAAAACAGGCATCATGGACCGGGCTCTCTCCATATATTTCCTGCTGGGATGGCTGGGTGGAGACCTCCTAAACCTCATCGGTTCCTTCCTGGCAGACCAGCTGCCCCTGCAGGTACTGACCAACTTGCTGGGGCTGGGTCGGCTCTCAAACACCCCAAACTCCAGGGAGGAGGGATGGGTTGGGTGCTGCTTAATCCAGCACTGGGAAATGGAGACCCTAAGAGCCTGGGGATGCACCCTGCTCCCCGTGGGGATGCTCCATCCTCTCCCTGAGGATGCTGCCCCTTCTCTCCCAGGGATGCTGGCTCACCCCAGGCATCACCCGGAAGCTGTTCTGCAGGTAGGACCCACACTCATCCTTCTCCTGGCAGGTTTACACAGCTGTTTACTACGTGCTCGCAGACCTGGTGATGCTGGCTCTCTACTGCTACTACAAAGTGAAGAACCAGGGTGGAGGATGTGAGTTGGGGTTACGAGGGTGGTGGGGCCATGTGCTGCCCTTGGCACATCTTTCGGGGTGGCTTGTCCTTGGCTGCAGAGCCAGGAGCAATCCCTGGGGGATGCACATCCGGGCAGAGATGCTTTGCAGATGCATTGATGCACCTATTAGATGCCTCATTGCTTGCTGTTGGTTTGTGGGTTTGTTTTTTTTTTTCTTGGATAAACTGAGTGCCTCTAAAAGCCAAAGCTTTAATAGCTTTAACAGCCCAATAGGTACCGGCCATGCCTGGGGCTTCCACACATCCTTGTGAACAACCATGTGCAGCATCCGGGTTGAAAATAAACCCCCTGTGAGTTGCGTTAAGTACAGCAAAAAGTTACTTACCCACAGTTACATAGTGACTCCATCTTGGAGCTGGAAACCACAGCCAGAACTCTTGTCTCGGGACAGTGCTTTAAAGGTGGGGGGGGAGAGAAGTTTTCTGACAGTTTTGGGATCAATACTCCTCTTGCAATTAATGGTAGCCTTGACTTGAAGTCATTCCTCCCTGTTCAGATGGAGCAAAGAGGGAACCTGCACAGACCTTGCAAAGCCTAAACAGCAAGAGAAAAATCCACTTTTTAGCCTTGCAGCTGTGAACTACAAACAGCTGTCCCTTGAGAACCATTTAACCATTTGAAGCTACTAAATCAACTGATACTTGGCCCGTCAACTATGTAGGGTTTTTTAATGCTGGAGAGCTTGTTTACAGAGTATAATACAAGTCTTGCTGTCAAAGCAGGGCTTGGTCTGGCAGGGGTTTGAATGTGCGGCGTTGTGAGTTAAGACGGTGAAAAACTTCTGGATGATCTTTAAGAGCCCTAAACCCAAAGAATCTCAAATGCTCTCAGTCTGCTGAGATAGGAGCAGTTTCCTCCCTGATAACTTACAAATTGCCTGTATCGCTGCGAGATAAAACACCCGCAGCAGCTGCTGCCCGAGTCACTGGGTGCTGGCTGAGCCGCCGCAGAGATAAGGGAGAGCTTGAAGGTCTCTTTACGCAGAGGGGTCCCAGCACCCACCGAGGCTGCTGGGCTGTGCTGGGGGCTGAGGGAGGAGCCTTCCCTATGCAGCCTCTGCTTGATTCCCCGCAGTCGCTGCCCCGATCAACGCAGCCTTCGTCTTCCTTTCCCTGGGGATGGTGTCGACCGTCTCCTTCGTGGGCAGAGGTGCTGCCATGGCGCAGGGCTCGGCCACATTTAAAGGGAGATCTCTGCTGTCTGCTCCCACGGATGAGCTTGGGTCAGAGGTGAGCTGGTTCCTAATCCTGGGTGATGCGGGGGGAGATAAAGCGTCTGGTGGGGTGGATGTGATCCCGCTCAGCGGGGTGAGGGATATGTGGGGAGGGCAAAGGCTGGGTTTTGGCCCCGGTGCCACCTCGCATGGAGCCGTGGTCTGTCTCTGAAAACATGGGGCCTGCTTGCGGCCCCCCCCTGCCTTGCAGCCTTTCACCAGGAGTGAGATCATCGGCTTCACCATCGGCTCCATCTCCTCCGTGCTCTACCTGTGCTCCCGAGTCCCCCAGATCTACACCAACGTAAGTGCTGCACCGTGAGCGGGGCAGGGCAGCAGCCGGGTGCTGGGAGCCCCCCGGGCTTCTGAGATTTCCAGTTCCACCCAAGAGGGGTGGTAGGATCATCTTCCTCCTCTTTTCTCAGAGGTCCTAGGTCCCCATCTTAATCATTCTATAAGGGATTATTATTCTGTATTTCTGCTCTGAAACCTTCTTTTTTCTCCCCTCCCTTTAACATACTAATATTTTGAGGGCGGGGCTTTCATTTTGTCTTTATTTTCAAGCAAAAGGGGAACTAAAAGGCTCTTGATGTTGAGTCACCACCTTTTTTCTTCTTTTTCTGGGGTCCTTAATATTACTTTCTAGTAAGAGTTTGGAGAGCTGCACCCAAGCTTCGCTCTCTGGCCCCTCTCATTCCAGTACAAGAGGAAATCCACCATCGGGGTCTCCTACTCCCTCTTTGCCCTGGTGATGCTGGGGAACTCGCTCTACGGCGTCAGCGTCCTCCTGAAAAACCCCGAGCAGGGACAAGGTGAAGGCGACTACGTCCTGCACCACCTCCCCTGGCTGGTGGGCAGCCTGGGTGTCCTGTCCCTCGATGTGGTTGTATCCTTTCCTCTCCAACGCTGCCCTCGGGGCTTGCATCCCGCCGGCGAGGCTGCGCAGGGAGGGAGCCCGTCTCGGGGCAGGCAGGGTGAGGTAGGAGGAGCAGGTGGGTTGTTGCTACTCAGCGGTTGCTTTTGAGCTGTGCTTGCTCACCCGCGTGCCGGTGAGTAATTTATGGTGTTGCAACAGCTGAATGCCTCAGACCCTTGTTTGCATTAAACTCATTGTCCTGTTTCCACCTCTCCTGGCACAAACAGCATTGTTACAGGTGGTGAGACCCAACACCTCGCATAAATCCACCCTTGCGTGCGTGCAGAGCCTTAACCTCCTCCCAGATCTCCTTCCAGTTCCTTGCTTATCGGAGAGGAAGACCCAGTACCCGTGAGGAGAGGGATGCTCTTCTCGGCGAGCAGGGTGACAGCCTGGAGAGCTGACAAAGGATCTGCCTCGCCGGGAGAACAGGATGATGCAGACACAAAATCTGGCTTTAACGCCGGGCAAACCAGCCCCTCTGTCCTAGTGGCTCTGGGGAGAAGAAGACCTGAGCCAGTGGGAGACATGTTGTGCTGCTAAGACTCTAAGCCCAGCCTAAGTGGCAGAGGATGCTGCTGAGAGATCTCGTGCCTCTTTGATACCAATGATGTTATCAGGATAAACAGGGAGTTATTTGATACCTCAAAAGGTCGCTCTTTGCTGCTCTTACACCCCACAGCTGAGCCCGGTCACTTCTGCTTTACCTGCTGTCTCTCGAGGGTGATCTGGAGCTTCCCTAATGCTGGCAAAGGTGGGAATAGCCTAAGGGGCTGTGGAGGGACACAGAGACGACCAACCTGTCATGAACGACAGTGACTGGAACCAGTTCAGAGGAAGGAACAGCGTAACCAAAGTGTTTTGGTCCACACGTACCTATTTTAATTAGCACAGCTCAGACGTCTATAAAACACGTCCTTGCCCCACCTGCCTCCTTTGGTTTTATTTTGCTGGTTCATCTGGCAGCTCCTGCCTCTTTCTTAATGCATCTCACAGTCCCAATTTCTCTCATTTTTTGCCTCACCCACGTTTTAATTTCATGGATTTCTTGAGGAAGTGGCTCCATCACTTTCTGCTTAGCTGGCCGGACAGTTACCAGGCAGAAGATGCTGCCTTCCCGCTCAGTCAGGTTTTTTGGTCCTGCCCTCTCTCGTTGATGAATTTATTCCCAGCACTGATGAATTATCCCCAAGTTGATGAAGTGACCCCCTTCTTGGGGCTCTGCACACCAGCACAGTGGCTCCGTGATGGCAGAAGGACTGGAAGCAGCAGCAGGAGAGATGCTTTGGGGCGTGCAGGGGAGAGCAGCAGCGTAGCCCCGAGCTGGCTGCCTCGGCCCGTGGGCTCCCTGCCCCAGGCTGAGCTATTTCTGCTGGGGAGGAGCAGCTCAATCTCACTGGGCAAGCAAGAGGAAAATCAACCAAAGCTTGTAGGCCCTTCAAGAAAAGTGAACGCAACTTTTCCTTTTAAAGCCAAAACCTTTCCTTTCCTTGCAGTCACTCTTAGCTCTTCACTCCCCTTTTCTCCCCCTCCAGCTACTCTCCCCACCTCTTCCCCACTGCCCACCCCTGCAGCACCCCACTCTGTGCCCCTTTTAGCTCTATTACCACTAATTTACAATTCCTCAGCCAGTCCCATGCCGTTAGTCCTTGCCAGCATTTGGAGCTGAGCCGTTTGTTTTCAGAATTATTATTTTTCCAGGTTCTTTGACCCCTTTCAACAAAGCTGGTGGCTTTTTCACTCCCATTAATTCACAGTTCTTGTGGTCGAGGGGGCTGCTCGTCTCTTCCCCATCCTCACAGCAGCAGGATTTCCTCTGCTGTCTTTCACTATGAATTGCAGAAAATTCACATCCAGTACTAATACAAACCATGAGCAGATTCCTAGCAAGATAGAAAGTGCAGCTTCATTAGACCTCAGTACCTATCCCTGGGGCTTGGTTTTATTAAAGGAGTGGTTTTTAACCTCGGCTCATGTTTGCTAGCTCAGCCCTGAAGTGTTGGGGAAGGCAGTGTGGTTTACTGAGATCTGGCTTTACTAAACTGACCTATGGCTGAGGGATAGGATGGGATTAGGCATAACTACCTTGTGGAAATGAAGAGCCTCGTCTCTGCCATTCACAATACTAAATAATTGCCACATACTGGCTAACCAAGGACTTTTCTTAAAGCTAGACAGAAGATAACATAAGCAGGTAAAAAAAAAAATATATAAAATATAGTTTGTTCCCACAGGTGTATCCAAAGCACAGATTAAGTACAAAGTTGACTTAGGTAGGTAAGATGGAGCAAGGCAAGCAGCTGCATTTGGCAGATGGAATTTATGCGCCAGCAGCCATCGAGATGGTGGTGGATGGAAATACGTGTCACAAGGAGGCTCTTGCTGAGGTTATCATCCCTCTGAGACTCTAATACAGCCCCGTCCTCAAAAGAGCCTGCAGTTTAAGATTTTTGCAGAGGCAAATGTTAAACCAGAAAGGGCACAGCCCAGAAACCATTTGTCCCAAAGCACTAAACGTAACTTGGTGGTAGGCTTGCGGCTGGAGCAGCCAGGCCAAACCTGGAGGTTAGCCCCCAAACTACCAGGTTACAGCCCTTTGAGAAGGGCAAGAAACAGAAACTGCTGCTGTGGCTGCATCGATCCTGCAGCTCGTACGTGTACGACTGCTCTGCAGAAAGAGCATCCCCTGCACACGTGTGCTGAGGGTGTCTGCATACCCCAAACCCACACGTTGCATTTATCTGTGACGCTTCCATTTTTAGCTTGTGTGCACCAAGATGGCTTTGGAGAAGGAAAACAAATCCCCCCAAAAAGCCCTTTAGCACGTTACAATTGAAAATAGGCAAGAGGAACCGTGAGTCTCCCCCCTCCTGGGCTGACACGCTCCTTCCCGAGTCTCAAGAGTTCACACACGCTTATCTCCAACTTTAAAAAAGGTTTTTCCTAGGACAGAACCTCAGCGTGTTCCCCCGGGGGGTCCCAGCTCTGAGGCACACGTGTGCCTCTCCCCAACCCGCATCCCGTTACGGACCCGAGGCCCCCAGATAAATACCCTGGCACAGGACCGTAATCACCTGCAGATGTCTGGATGTGGAACAGGTCACATTAGAAAAGCAAAATTAGAGTGTGTTAATCAGTATTAATGCCAACAGTCTCAATTTGCATAGGTTCACCCGAAGGCTAATTCCAACAGCCATGTGCAGGAAGAGCCCAGCAGGTAATTGCTTTCTCAGTGTCAGCAGGATGGAGTCTGTTATAACCAAAGCAAGTGGAAGGGGCAGAGGACCTGACACTGTGCAAGGTCCCTCTGACCACCAAGGGTTTAAAGATGGAGAAAATCCGGACAAGGTTCACAAATCACACAGGGATTGAGCAAAGAAGCAGCTTTTGGGTGAACATTGATTGTTGGAACCAGCCACCTCAAACTGCCAAGGGAGCCGAAACGCCTCCCCTCTGCCCACCAGAGTGTTTCAACACACAGGTTTCTCCCCAGACTAATTTTTAACACTTGGTAAAGCTGGACGACTCCTTCTCCTCTAAATACATCTCGTTCATCTTTGCTGGCTGCCTGGAGCATCCCTCCCAGCAGCAGGATGCCAACATTCCAGTGCCAGCACCTGGGACGCACGGCAGGCCCACAAGTAAGGCAGCCATGCATCACACCCTCTTTCAAACAACGCCCTGTCAGCTAACCTGGATGCAAGAAAAAATAATTTAAAAAAAGCTTTCTGTGACCATATAGTCCAGCAGCCCTTTAGCTTAGGGCTGAACTCAAGTGTCTTTGTTTCCAAGCACACGGCCGCCTACCTGCAGCCAGCACGGCTGCCGGGGTTGCTACAGAGGAAACCCCCAGTAACACTGCAAAGAAGGAAAGAGAAATAAGGACGACACCAACCACACACACACTGCTTCCTGGGATTATTTTTTTTTATTTTATTTTTTTAGTCTTTTTTTTTTTTTTTTTTTTTTTTTTTTTTTTTTTTTTAGTATGGAGGCTCAAGTATCAGATGTAGATTCAATTTAAGCTTTACAAAAAACAAAATCAAAACAAAAAACCCCTTTTGCATTCCATAAAAATTGACAGAAAAGCGCCTTGGAACCAGGCTATAGAAGAGCAGAACTTTCAGCAGGTCTCCTAATCAATGTCTCCTTGCAAATCTGGTTTAGTCAGTATAGTACAACACTGAGGAAACACCCTCTCTTCCCTCCCTCCCACCAGCCATCCCCTGTGCCCAGCCCCCAAACATACGTGGAATAGATTTTTTTTTTTTTTCCAGTTCTTCCTCTTTCACACACCACAGTATTTAATAAATTTTTGTTTTACATTTTTTACACCAATGTAACAAAAGGCAGGAGGGGGTGGGGAGGAAAAGACAAACAATGATTTGTGTTTATGCATATAAATGGGGGAGGGTGGAAGAGGGCAGGGGGGAAAAAAATACATGGACTTCTACAGAAACATAGCCTAAGGTCTCAATAGTAAAATGTGGTGCAAAGTAGGCCTCAGAGACTGAAAAAGTTTGTACAGCTTTATTCATGGGGAGAAGATGGCGTTGCATGGATAGTACTGAATGCAAATCGTGACGTGACGTAACAGAAAAGGGCAAGGGGGGGATGAGTTTTCTAAGAAAGGAATCTAACGAGTGCATGGCATGTCTTGTTAGCATGAAGAGTATTTTAACTTTGCTGCTTTCTCTTCAAAGCCTCCACCAGGTCGTTTTTAAGAGCTTCTTGTTTTGATTTGTCTGCAAAAGTCTGCACAGACCTGCGGGGAAGAAGGAAACGCAAGTCAGAGGTGATGCGTTGGAGAGGTGGTGTTTTTAACAGTTCTCCTGGCATGTGAGTCAAGAGGAAGGAGAAGCACCTCAACCCAGGCTTAGAGGACACAAAACTCAGCTTGCCTGTTTTAATCCAGAAAGCAGAAGGCAAAGTGAACACTTCAGTGAGTATATCAAAGCAAAATTCACTCTAGCAAGGCTGGCACCAAAAGACACGCTTCCCCAGAAGCTCCACTCAGCCTCCAGTTGCTGGAGGGAGATTCCCAATTTTTTTACATTACAGATTGGAAAAACCCCAGTGTAGCACCAGCGAAGGGTGTTAGCGCTCTCGCTCTCCACAGGACCGTGAGGGGAAGGCACAGAAAATCCAGCCTCTACCCACAAACATCAACAGGGCCGGGCCAGGGGAGCTCCTGAACCTTTTTGCAGACTGTTCACCCAGGGTCGAGCAGCCACGTCAAAACTTCCCTCCAGCGTGTTCACCAGGGGGAAAAGTGGCCAGTTTCTGCTCTCGAATTTGCTTTTCCAGTTTGTACCTTACCTAGAGTAATTCGTGAATCAAAGCAGCCGAAGAAGAACAGAGACACTGTCACAGCAAGATTATTGCAGGGGTTCACTTTTGCTCAGCGTTTGGTTACAAAAGAAAAGCTGCCTCTTTCAGAAATCATCTTGGCTCCCTGCCCTCTAAGATGGGTGTGGAGGAACCTCCATTTTCAACAGTAAAATAAGAAATCTCCACTTTAAAAAAAAAAGCCCTCTCAAGTATGATCATGGATAGAACAATACTAGACTTTTCAGGAATTGCTACCACAGAGAAGTAGTTAGGATCCAGTTTGGTAGGATTCCTCCCCACATAAATCATATTTCACACCCTTTTCAGGACTCCAAGCTACCTTATTTTGCCTGGATGCTGTCTCCTGTAAACAAGGCTGCTCTTTGTGTCAGTTATTTTCCTAACATTTTTATAACAGTATTTCCATTCTCTTGTCTCTGGAGACTTCCACTGCTTTAATAAAAATATATACATTTTATATTTGCATTTGTCACAGGCTAAAGAGGTGGTTCTTGGCCATTATCAACAAATAGTGCATTTTTCCCCTTCGTCAGCTTAACATGTTTAAGACACCATCTGTAACTCATTATGAACTGGAGTGGAAGGTTAAACTGGCTCAGGGTTAGTCACTGCCGTGCATCCTAGACATTCGGAGCTCCAGAGCAAACGAGAGCGTATGAACAAACCCCTTCAGAGGCTGTGCAGAGCACAGAGGCTAGCAAGGTTTCAGTAGAGCTTGAGCAGGACTGGATTTCAAGCTCCAAGGAAATTCAAGACATGGGGCAAATAGGGGATGTGTGTGTGGGGTGAGCTCGCATTTACTCAGAAGTCACAGGAAGTACCAGTCATTTTTTTTCAAAACTGAAAGACTTCCAAGATTTCATTCCTTTCTGCAGGGAGAACACTAAGATTACAGGGAGTTTCTTATCTGAAGTGGTGCACCACAGCTGTAGAAAACTGATGGTGCACAAGGAACAGAGTCCCACAGCTCCTGGATCGAATCAGTCCAGGCTAACATCACTCTGGGTACGTGACCACGTGCTCCTTTCTTGCTCCCAAGCTAGAATGCAAAGTGGTAAATCCTGCCCCATTTCAGAGCGTGATATTTCAAATGGGGGGGAAAGGGTGGAGCAACATTTAAAATAAAAATGACAGCATTTAGTTGGCCGTATTAAGAAATAACCCTTGGGTGAAACACGGATCAAATGTCGTTTATCAGTCTGCGGGAGTTAGGGGTTAGTTCTGGTCTCAGTTATCATGCAGAGGTCTTGGCTGGGTGAGTCCTGGTTTAGTGCTGGTTGTCACACCTCACAGGCAGGGGGTACCTGGATTGGTTTAGTTATCAGGCTGGATGTAGATCTGGCGCTGGGTCAACACTTGAGAAAGCTCCCTCTGCAACTGCTTATACTTTTGGTTGTCGGGGATAGCATCAATAGATCTACAGAGAGCAGTTTAGAAACGAGGGAAGTAAACAGGGAAAAGAAGAGTCAGAAGAACTCAGTAACACAGAGCTGGTCATTCTGGAAACCACCGGGAGCACACTCAGGAAGAATAAGTGTAAATACACAGGTTAGGAAAGACAAGAAAAAGGCCAGAGGAAACGCCAAAGCCAGATGCTCTGTGTGTTACCAGTTCTGAGCAGATCATCTCACCGATGCACAAAGTACCATGACTCAAACTGAGCAATGGAGAGACACAGGAAACAGATTCAATTACAAAAGCTTAAGGCAATGTTCACAAGGAAAAAGACTGTATTACATAGTTCCTTTTAATGTTAATAAACGCTTCCTGGCTAAACCCCTGCACACCACAAATGAAAATAGAGGCCTGTTATGAAAGCTGGGGTTTGCAAAAAAAAAAACCACCCCAGAACAGCTGCTTTCTCAGATACTGCCAACTCCCTCTGCCCATGCTGCTAAGAAGGCAGAACAAATATTTAATTAGCACCATTATTCTATCTTCTTTCAGATTTTAGTATGCGAGAGAACAGCAGCTTACTTATTTGCACCATTTGTTTATTCTACATTATCGCTGTGTGCTAGGAGGTCTAGCTGCAGTTTAAAGCAAAATGATTTGGCACCACAGTTCTGTACTTTCTTCTACGAGCATCAGAACTACCAGCTTGGGATTTCTATGTAAAATTCCTGACCAGAAATGAGCAGGGGTTGAAAAGTAATGTAGAGTTCCCCTACAGAAAGGCACAGGGGGTTTAGTCATTTAATCTGTTCTAGTACACTGTATTTTGACCAGCGGTGTTGAGAGAAAAGACAGAATTTAAAACAAAGTCTAAATACTGCAAACCACTAATGTCATGATTTAATTCTGGAACCAGCTGACTGTTTTTAATAACAGTAGAAAGTGAAGTCAGAATTTAAGTACAACTTTCAGGACTCTGAAGAATAAAACTCCTAATTAAAAATAAATCTGAAATGTAAGTGCTGCTAATTGGACTATTTTCCTCCTGGCAAGGGAAGAAGGGATTAAAACATTGCTTCAAATTTCTACAGTTACAAGGCAGAAGCGTTCCCTAAACACCACACAACAAATAATGTTTTCCAAGCACAGTGAGGTGAACAATTAGGGACATGAAAAGACTTTGTGTAGGCAAGGGGAGTTCCAGCGAACAAAAGCAGATCAATGCTGGGCTGGGGACGGTACCACAGGCACTGCAGGGGAATGGAGGGAAGCAAAGGGGGTCCAACAGGCAGCTGCAGAGCCCCTTACCTCAGCCCATTAACGATGTCCTTTGTTTTTCCAAAATAAATCTCATTCAGTGTACTTCTGATTTTGTTTTCCATGTCCTAGAAAAAAGTAAGAAACCAGATCTTCAGTCATGTCAGCTGTTTTCAGAACAGCGCACATGCGCTCTTCTGTGCGTTGGATGCGTTCATCTTGAACAGCACAGTTCAACCCACCGTTATTCCTACTGTTTAAATTCTCACAGAAGGCAGTATGACCCTATCTCCCAGTTCTTATCAAAGAAATAAAGGCTTAGCTTTATTCCTGTCCTCTCCTCCCTATTAATCTCTCTAGGCTTTACAGGCAACGTCGTTCTGGACCACAAGAGGGCAGTTTCTATCCAGCTATCAGTTTTTCCTGCATTTGGCTGCAGAAAAGGAAAACACATTTCACCCCAGCCTCACTCTGTAATGTCCTGGCACTGAACGGCCTGTAAGTGGCAAGTCAGTCACTTAGAATAACCAACAGGTCAATAGTTTTGTGCTTATGGGTTCGCCCTGAATTTTTGAGCTGGCAACTCGTTCATTCACGGCAAACAGTTTTGAGAAACATCTTGTAAATACGCAGGTTTTTTAATTTAGGTCGCTTTCACTCAAGCCAAAAACTTAGAAAAGGGACCAAAAAAGAAGTAGCTGCCTTCCTTTCATTTCCCAGTTCTTTTAAAAAAAGCATTATGGTCTATGTTAGTTGAGAATTTCCTCCTCTCTTGCCAAAGTGGTGCTGAAGATCAAGGAAATCGAGAACAGCCTGACAGAGGACAGTGCACAGAAGAGCAGACTGGTGTAGCACCCTTCTGAGCAGCTAACGCAGGCACATTCTCCACTCACCATGCTGAGGTACACGACTGACAGCTGCCAGAAAGTCAAACACTAAAACCAATTCCAGAGGATTTAACAAGCACTTGATATACACTGAACTTCCAGTTAGAAGGACAGTTCTCTATTACACAACCTGACTTTACAAAATTCAGCCCAGAAGCAGGGGGGTGGGAAATTTTTTCATTCTGAGGAAAGGACCACTTATTTTACAGGAAGGTTATTACTGTAATGAGAAGACAAAATGCAGACTGGAGGTTTTGTGTCTGCAAACTGTTAGAAGACGTGATATAGGAGGAGTACTGAGGCATCAAACACTGAGCAACAACATGAGCACGATTAGACTCGGTACAATATGAATGGGAAACTTGTTTGTAAAGGCAAAAGCAAGCGTACAGCAGAATTCTTAGACTTGGGACCAAATATAGCAAGAGAACCTGCAGCAGGCTCAAGCTGTGGTGGCTTCACAGCACTTACCTCTACCAAGCGTCCGATATTGGCTATGTGTGGAGAGGAGTCGCTCACAGTCTCATCTTTCTCCATCT